TTGATGGAGAAGAAATGGAATGTTAAAGGATGGTGCGGAAATATAGAGCCAGTGAAGTGAATAATAGGATGTGTTTGATGGCGGCGACGACGTCCGGCACCTACAACCTTTGGTATAGGAGGGCAGCAATGTCTGGGGAAGAGGGGATGGGTCTGGGAATATGGATTTTTGGTTTTTTTAATAAAATAAAATGATTAATAAATAACATAAAATATATATATATATATATATATATATATATATATATATATATAAATAAGGGTATAATAATCTTTTTACATCAACCAGAGACCAACGATGCAACAAAATCAAATTATAGGGATTGTTCGAAATCAAATTATAGAGATAATCCGAATTAAAAAAAATAAGTTAGAAACTGAATATGCATATTATCTTAAATTAGAGAGGCCATTCATTTAATTTACTCTTTCTTTATTCCCTTAGAATAGAGTATTTTATCATCACATGTAAGCGATAGCTTTGTATAAAACTATATCTAAAGCATATGTCCTTTTACCACTAAACAAGGGTTATTGCGTCATGGAGCAAGCAAAAGGTATTCGTTTTGTTTTAGCTTTAATTTTATCAAGTATTATTAGTTTTAAGCGCATACTAATTCAAGTTTTAATTCTTGAAAAAAAATAAAAAAATAAAAACTATTAAACCAAGCAAAGCATGTATTATGGTGCTATTATATGTACTCAATCACTCACATAAATTATTAAATCATGGGATACACATTCATCCACTCATATAGGGGGAGGGGTATACAAAACAATTAGAAGTATGTATAGATTAGTCATGCATTAGTATCGTTGATGAGTCTCAAACCTGCAACTTCTTGGCACAAAAAGGTTTCGCGCCATTTGGCTTTTTGTCTAGAGTCGTTATGGTATATATTGGTTACAATGGTGTGTAAAGCCGAACCTGGAAACCGAAAAAACCGAAACCGAAAATCTGACAATAACTAATGGTTTGGGTTTGAGTTTTCTAAAACCGAAATATTGAATTACGTTTCAATTTCATGAATTGGGTTTACCTTATCGTATATTTTGTTTGCTAATCTTTAACTATTAGAATATACTAAAGTTTTATTGTGTCCTTAAACTTATAATATGTGTTTAACTAATTATTATAATCACCTAGCTATGATATGAGTTATTAGGGGACTTTTCGGTCGAATACGCTTTGAAAAAATAAACTATTTGTAACACCCAGTTCCTGGTATGTATTTAAAGTTATAAGTTATTCATTTTTGTACAAGAACTCGACGAGTTGGAGGCCCCAAACTCGTCGAGTAGAGATAGATTTGGGTGCGAGTTATGAAGTCTACTCGACGAGTTGAGAGCCTCAACTCGACGAGTAGGCCTGGCATAATGAAACACTAATTTTAAGGGTTTTGCACCCTATTTAATCACCTTAACCTCCAAAGGTTGGCCTCATTTACAGCCTCCATCGTCCTAAACCCTAGCCAAGAAACCCTAATCCACTTTTGGAGAGTTTTGAGCCATTTTGTGCATTCTTTATGATTTTGAAGCTTGTGAAGGAAGGAGAAGCTTGGGGATTCAAGAGGAAGCTAGAAGATCCAGAGTTTGAGCTGCATTTCTGACTCATTTGAGGTATAAAGTTGATACATTGGCTTTCTATTACTTAGATCTCCATTTAGAGTAGTATGTTGTCACTTTTGGGCCATATTGAAGTCATTTTCGGGATTTGAGTATATCATGAAGTTGTGACTTCAGATCTAAGCACTCATGAGCTTATGAGGCTTAAAGTTGTCAGCTTTATCAAGCCTTGGCCCTTCCTCATGCCCTAGATCTCTTATATAGCTTAGTTTTGGTGTTTCTAGCTTCATGCATGACACCATGCATGGACGTAAAGTTAGCAACTTTACGTGGTAACTTAGTCCTAGGGGACCAGATTTATGGTTTGGAAGCATTGAACTCGATTGGAAACGACTGAATGGGTGTAGACTAAGGGAACTCGACGAGTTGTTCATGCAACTCGGTGAGTTGGATCGTGATCCCCAACCTTTTCTGATTCATGAGCAAACTCAGTGAGTCTAGGAGACGACTCAGCGAGTTGGTTAAGGTTTTCCAAGTTTTGAAGATTAAAGAACTCGACGAGTTCAAGGAAAGACTCGACGAGTTGTAGCAAAATGTCGCGATTCTATTATAGGAAGGAACTCGATGAGTTCATGAAAGAACTCGACGAGTTGGGTTGCGATTTCAGGGTTTATGATTTATGGAACTCGGCGAGTTGATGGACCAACTCGGCAAGTTGAGTCAACCCAGAAGGTTGACTTTGACCAGAACGTTGACTTTGACCAGAGTTGACCCTTAAAGGGGTTATGAGTATGAAAGGGTAATTAAAGGATATTTTTATGTGTAGGAGTTTGAGAGGAGTTGATTCCAGAGCCGAGGACAGTTTTGTTACTTCACGACATTTGAGGTGAGTTACCTTCCAGTAGAAGTGGGTCGAAGGCACTAATGTTGGCCCACTAGTAGCTAATTATAGTAGAGATGATTGTGTTTGTGATAATTGTCTGGTATGACACTATCTGTTATGATTTATGTGCTAGTATGCTATGTTATTATGTGATAGTGGTAGGAGGAGTAGGTTAGACCCCGTAGCCGGTTGAGATAAACCGGAGGGTAGGTCGGGCACCCTAGATATGCCTGACAGTATGTTATGCTATGTATTATGTGGTATTGGTAAGGGGTGAAATAGTCCCCGTAGCCGGTTGAGATAAACCGCAGGGTAGGTCGAGCACCCAGATATGGTTGACATGGGTAGGTCGGGCACCCCAGATATGCCTGACAGGATAGGTCGAGCACCCAAATATGCTTGACATGGGTAGGTCGGGCACCCCAGATATGCCTGACAGGGTAGGTCGAGCACCCAGATATGATTGACATGGGTAGGTCGGGCACCCCAAATGTGCCTGACAGGGTAGGCCAGGCACCCAGATATGCCTAGTAGTATGTGTTTATGTGATATGATGGGGGAACTCACTAAGCTTTGTGCTTACGGTTTTCAGTTTTGGTTTCAGGTCCTTCTTCTTCGAAGGGAAAGGAGTCTGCATGATAGCAGCGCATCACACACGATTTTCCGCACATGAGATCTATGGGAGATGTATTGTGACATTATTTTTATATGACATGTTTGAGACATGGGTTTTGAGTATGATATGAGATGACATTATCGATGTTTTCAGATTACCGTTTTATAATTTCTTAATTAAAAATGAAATTTTTGGTCATGAATTTTGGGATGTTACACTATTGTCGAAATAAAATTGTTAATATCGGTGTCATATCTACGATTGTTTACGTTTTGCAAGATTATGATCGTAAAATCGAAGCGGGATCATGAAATCGAATCGAGATCAAAATATCCTACCAAAAAGAACTACTTTTCAAGTTTGCTTGCTTGATCTTGTTTGTATAGTACCTATTATAACTTGACGTTGATTAAGATATCGATGATAAAATTTCATTTAATTTATTAAGCATGGAACATAGTTCTTGTTGCTAAAAACTACAAAAATTAGGAAGAAAACAAATTAACAAGATTATTGTGACCATGTACAAAAAAAATGCATATGATCACAAAGAGAATAACATGAGTATCATGATATTTTATGTAATTTAAGATGAACCGAAGAAGTGGTGATATTTTATAAGGCTTTTTGTGACTTGTAATGCTTGATTTCAAGTTGAATAAGTGAATATTTGAAGCTCAACTATATAAAAAGACTAAAGACATGAGATTTGATCGGTTTAAGATCCTAATATAGATTTTGCTTCATATAGATCCTAGTGTGATCGGGGTCTTTTTTTGTTTCTAGGATTTTAAGATCCTAAGATCAAAATCTTAATTTTAACAACTATGGTCAAAACTTTTTCATCTTAAAATATTTTTAAATTTTCATGTGAATTTAGAAGCTCTATTTATCAGAGTTTTTAAAAATTTAATAGCATTTTATTAACTGCAAATAAGTTTTCTGAAAATTAAACTTTATTAGATTAGAATATAATTTGAGACTTTTGTTTGATGGCATTTATTTTGCAAAAAAAGAAAAAAAAAACTTAATTGAACAATATTTTTATGGATGCTTTAATAATAATAGAGTAAACTACACGAATGGTCTCTATGGTTTGGGGTAATTTGCGCATTTGATCTCTAACTTATTTTTTTTAACTCGAAAAGTCTCTACTGTTTGTTTTTGTTAAGATTTTGGTCCCTGCTATTTGTTTTTGTTACTCGTTTGGTCATTGTCTCACCTAAAAAAGACTATTATTTAAATAGAAAAAAATGATGAGATAGGTAAGGTAATGTGAGGGGGTGGGATTGGGGTGTGTTTATTTAAATAAATTAAAAATTAAGAGCAAAATAGTTTTTTTAGGTAAAACTAGGACCAAGCGCTTAACAAAAATAAACAATAGGGACTTTCCGAGTTAAAAAATAAGTTAGGGACCAAACACGCAAATTACCCTAAACCATAGGGACCATTCGTGTAATTTACTCATAATAATATAAAAATGTACTAGATAAATAGAATTTTATTAGTTACAATATTAATGTATAATGTTAATAATATAAATCATAATAAAAATAATTTTAATATTATGAAGAATATTACAAGCAATATAATAACAGTAGAAATAAAATTTGGAAACATGTTGAAACCATGGTTGGTTTTCATTTTTTATTATTCTTGAACCGTTAAACACACATCCCATACTTGTCCCAAACTTTGAATCCTCGATTAAGAGACATACCCATGATTTGTTAACTTTGAACCCTTAAAGGCTAAGCTTTTTGAACTAAAAGAAATCTTAATTTAAGTTATTTACAAAAGTTGAAATCAACATTTACTTAGAAACTTACAACACAGGGTACGAAAATGATGCCAACTTGCTTCATGTTGTTTATCAACATGCAACTTCTAATATCATATCATTTTAAATTGTATACCAGATATACACCCTGCTGCGATGCTAATGTCCACGTCATCACCATTTTCGCCACCAGCACCATCGGCGTCACCACCAACACGTAGAGGTTACTTATGCGAGGTTTGGCATCACTTGACTGCAAAAATTGACGATCCTAAAGCCGCAAAGAGGACTGATGCGATCTTAATAGTTGCATCAGTGATTGCAGCTATGAACTTCCAAGCAGTGATCAGCCCACCTCGTGGCATTTACCAAGAAACTAGATACAACCTCAAGCATCAGATATACAAAGCAGGAGAAGCCATTGGTGCTCATCTTGATCCACAGGGTGTTGAAAATAACAAGGTTAAATATTACAATCTCGTATTTATTTATAATCTAGAGGGTGTGATATGTACAAGTGTTATTCTTCTGGGTTTAAGTGATTTTACAGGAAATGCACGCGGATCTTAAATGGGTCAAGAAGACTTCGGGTTGAATCCAGGTTGAATCCATTTTACGTGGTTGGCATATAAAAGAAGAGAGAGAGTGTATCTGATCACAATTCTCGATCATTCTCTCATCTGGTTTCTTTCAACTTGAAGCTTTTCTCTACGATTAGGGTTTCTCTATGTTTAGAGTCTCTCATTGTTAGATCGTTAGTGTTTCAGTATATCTGTTGTTCTTTTCTTGTTGATCATTTGTTTCAGGTGAGTAGTTCTTAGTTCTTACATCCTCTGATTGTATTTTTAGTTTAGGGTTTGAGTGTTTTGTTATGAGAGTAGTTTAGGGCTTTTGTAGTGAGGTTTTTTTGTAAGTTCTTGCAAACCTTCTGTTTCTTTATCCTTAAATGATATAAGAAATGAAGATGTTGGGAAATTTGTGATTGTGAGCTTCTTAACATGGTATCAGAGCTACGGTGTAGTATCTGTTGAAGATCTTGGTGATTTGAAGACGATTTCGTGCAGGTTCGTCTTGCTCTCATCGTTATCTGGTTTTTTTTCTTTTCGTGTGTCTGTGGGTCCGATCGTCTTCTGATCGTTTCTTTGTTGATTACATCGTTTTTTTTTAAGAAACAAGTTACTGCGAAGCTGTTATGTCTTTTGCAGCTTGATGATATTGTTCGACTCTTGAGGATCTGTGGTTCGATCTTGGAGAAAAGCTTCTCTTCGTTTGGTCTGCTCACTTAATCCCTGCAAAAGGTTCAAGTTCTCTGTCAGGAACGGACAAGTGTCTGAAATAACTTTGGCAGAGAACAACCCTAGGGGAGGTGAGCGGTCTTCTGCCTTGCGAATTCTGCTTAGGACCACTGTGAGCGATTTCTTGTTCCCTTCTCAACTTTTTGTAGTTAGATGTGGGATTCCTGATGTCTTGAGTACATCAGTGACATATTTGTGTGCTTTTTTTGTACTTGATTCGTTTTTTATGATTTAGACTCTGTGTTGATTGTCTTGGGCCCCGACAAACAGTGGTGAACATCTGGACTTTAAGTCAACATAGGTGTCTGTTTTCTTTTAAGTTTTCTTGTTGTTTTTATTCTCTGTTGCTTGCTTCTTGTGTGTCTTTTGTGACTAATCATGGTTGGTGAAACACCTGAAGGGACTGGTACTCCCAAAGATGTTCCTGTTGATTTTGATGACCCATTGTACATTCATCCGTCTGATAATGCAGTTACTTCTATAATAACAATTAAATTGACTGGTAATGAAAACTTTCGAGTATGGCGTAGTGCTATGACTAGGGGCCTTAAGGCCAGGAATAAATTGGGTTTTGTAGATGGAACTATAACTCGTGAAAAAACTGATGACACTAAAAGTTCTAAATGGGAACGTGTAAATGCTGTTGTGTGTAATTGGTTGCTAGGATCAATATCCGAAACTATATATGCTAGTCATGTTTATTCTGATAATGCTAAAAGTATTTGGGATGAATTGTTTGAAACTTATAATAAGGCTGATGGTTCTGTAATTTTTAATATCCATCAGCAGATAAATACCTTAAAACAAAATGGTTCTTCTCTTTCAGACTATTATAATAAACTTGACTCTTTATGGAAAGAATTTGATGGTTTGACTAGTTTAACTGAATGTGTATGTGAGGCTGCTACTAAACTTAATGATCATTCTAAAATGATGAAATTAATGCAATTTTTGAGTGGTCTTGATGATGTGTATAATCAAGTTAAAAGTCACATTCTCTTAATGGAACCTTTACCTAATGTTAAAACAGCTTTTTCAATTCTTTCTAGAGAGGAGTCTCTTCAAAAGAATGGTTCTCTGAGTTTTGTTTCTTCTTCAAAACCTCAACTGTCTGTTTTTAATAGTAAGGTTACTGATTCAAAAAGAGGTCAAGGTCAAAATAGGTTTAGAAATCAAGGGTTACAGTGTAAGCATTGTAATCTTAAGGGTCACACCATAGAAAGATGTTATAAATTGATTGGTTATCCAAAAGATTTTAAACTAAAGAATGATAATAATAATAATCAAAATAAGTCTTTTTCTGTGAATTCTTCTTCTATTGTTCCAAACAACAATTCTGTAGTTTCCTCTGATTCTGTTCCTAGTAGTGAATGTCACTATCTCACAAGTGAACAGTATTCTAAATTTCTTCGTCTCATAAATGAGAACTCTGCTAGTGAGGATGTATCTGTTGCTGCAAATATGGCAGGTACATCAACATATTGTTTTAATTCCTTTGTTAGTTCAAATAATTCTCAAAGTTGGATTGTTGATTCTGGGGCAAATCAACATATGATTGCCTCAGAGTCACAGCTCCAAGACACTGTGGATGTGTCTAAACATAATCTTCTTGTAAAACATCCTAATGGTTCTTCTGCATCAATAAATAAGATTGGGAATATTCACTTATCCTCTAATCTTACTTTATTTGATGTTTTTGCTGTGCCAGATTTTAATGTTAATCTTTTGTCTGTACATAAATTGTGTAAGGATAATGGATGTGAGGTTACTTTTTCTGAACATAATTGTAAAATTCAGGATTCACTATCAAAGAATATGGTGGAGAATAGTAGAGAGTCTGGGGGACTATATTATCTAAATCATGTTCCCTCAGGTAATTCAGTTAGTCTAAATCATTCTAAATGTTGTGTTTCAAAGTTAACTTGGCATAGCAGACTTGGTCATCCTGCTGACCAAGCCTTAAACTCCTTAAAAGATAGATTGAAATTAGGAAATGAATCTCTTCCCCCTTGTGATGTGTGTCATAGAGCTAAACAGACTAGAGAGTCCTTTTCTCTTAGTCAACATAGTTCAACTCAGTTAGGTGAATTAATTCATCTAGATGTTTAGGGTCCCTATAGACTTGCTTCTGTAGAAGGGTTTAAGTATTTTTTGACTATTGTGGATGATTTTACTAGGGCTACTTGGGTTTTTCTCTTAAAGTCTAAAAGTGAAGTTTTTGATTGTTTTAAGTCTTTTGTGAATATTTTATTAAATCAATTTAGTGTTAATATTAAGGTTGTGCGCTCTGATAATGGTACTGAATTTGTTAATAATCAAATGAGATATTTTTGTATAGAATGAGGTATCATTCATCAGACTTCCTGTGCTTATACTCCACAACAAAATGGGGTTGTGGAAAGAAAGCACAGGCACATTCTTAATGTTGCACGGTCTCTTTTGTTTCAATTAGGAGTTCCTGTAAGGTTTTGGGCAGATGCTGTTTTAACCTCAGTGTTTTTGATAAATAGAATGCTACTTCAGTTTTAAATGGCTCTTCTCCCTATGAACTTGTTTTTAAAAAGGCCCCCAATTTTGATCATCTGAGAATTTTTGGTTGCCTTTGCTTTGCTGTCAAACAAAATATTAATGATAAGTTTTCTGAGCGTGCTGAAAAATGTATATTATTAGGATATTCATCTAATAAAAAGGCTTATAAACTTCTTAGTCTGGATACTAACACTTCTTTTATGTCCAGGGATGTGAAGTTTTATGAGTCTGTGTTTCCTTACAAATTAAAGTCAACAAATGTTGACAAAACTTTACATAATTTTGGCCCTAGTGATCCATTTTCCTATGATGATTTTGATACTAATGAATACTTAAATTATTCTATTAATCCTGATGAGTTGAGAATAGAGTCACAGTTGGATGGTGCTGATGCAGCCACTCACCTGGATGATATTAATTCTAATGATACTGTCAACCGTAGTGGCGAGGCAGTTGTGCCTCCTTCTGCTGATTTTGTTCCTTCTTCTTCTGATATATCTGAGGAAAGTAGTCAGTTACCCGTAATCCCTTCTGTTGAGCAGTCTGTAGGTTCTTCTAGGTCTAGACGTGAGTCACATATGCCTGTAAAGTTTGCTGATTATATTGTTGAAGGTAAATATAAATATGGCATTGAAAGATCTATCAATTATTCCTTATTAGATAATAACACAAAATGTTTTATTTCAAATTTAAATAAAACTGTTGAACCAAAAGATTATAAGGAAGCTTTAACTGATCCAAACTGGGTTAAAGCAATGAATGAAGAGATGGAAGCTCTTCATCGAAATAATACTTGGGAAATTACTAATTTGCCTAAAAATAGAAAACAATAGGTTGTAAGTGGGTTTTCAAAATTAAATACAAATCTAGTGGTGAAGTAGAAAGGTATAAAGCTCGCTTGGTAGCTAAAGGGTATAACCAAAGAGAAGGAATAGACTTTGAAGAAACTTTTTCTCCAGTTGCAAAAATTGTGACTGTTCGTATTGTTATTTCTTTGTCTGTTCATAATTCTTGGCATTTATATCAACTTGATATTAATAATGCTTTTTTATATGGTGATTTAACTGAGGATGTTTATATGTCTCTTCTTCCTGGATACTATTCTACTGGTGATTCTAGGGTTTGTAAACTTACTAAATCATTATATGGGTTAAAACAAGCCCCTAGAAAGTGGAATGAAAAACTTTGTTCTTCCTTATTTTTGTTTGGTTTTCAGCAAAGTATAAGTGACTATTCCTTATTTGTGAGAAAGTTTGAAGGTTCGTTGACTGTGTTACTTGTATATGTAGATGACATTATTTTGACTGGAAATTATGAACTTGAATTACAGAAAGTTAAAAATTTCATGAAAACTCAGTTTTTAATTAAAGATCTTGGAATTTTGAAGTATTTTTTGGGAATTGAAGTAGTAAGGTTTAATAATGGTTTATGCTTAAATCAAAGAAAATATTGTTTAGAGTTATTACATGAATATGGTATGCTTGGGTGTAAACCTGTAAGTACTCCTTTGGAAACAAATTTTATAATAGATTCTGGTGGAAAAGATAAAGAAAATGCTTTATTAGACAATAAAACTGAGTTTCAAAAACTTATAGGAAAATTGATATACTTAACTGTTACTAGACCCGATATTTCCTATGTTGTTCAAGTGCTTAGTCAATTCATGCATAGACCTAACAGGTCTCATCTAAAAGTTGCTTTTAGACTTTTAAGATATCTAAAGAATAGTCCAGGAAAGGGAGTAGCTATAACAAAATCTGATAGTTTTGAA